TGAGGAGCTTCATATCTTCCTCTGAAGAAGTAGCAGGATGACCAGCTGGAGCAGGACAAGATGTCTTGACTTGCCCCCAGGAAGCGAACAAGTCTTGGATGGAACGCACAATCTTATCAGCATCCTGCAAAGAAAATTGCCAATATTGAAGATTCTCACTATAACGAACAAGATGGAAGTAAAAGTGAAGCAAAGATTACCTCATCAATAATCTTGGAAGATGGCATATCCCCAGCCAAGTCTGCCACCTGTGGCTCCACCATTCGTGAGAACTTTCCCTTGTCTAAGCGAGAAGATGTTGCCACAACGGGCAGACTCATAGGAGCATCTGCAGAACTCAAAAGCAACAAATCAGAAACCAATAGCACAAGCAAAGGTAAAGCATCAAAAAACTGAGTTACCTTCTGCTTCGATGTTTGGGGGGTCGACGCCCTGGGAAGAAGGTGGCTCATCCATTGGTTGTGATGAGGATTCTGGGACTGAAGATGTCTCTTTAAGCGTAGTCCCTTCATCAGCTGGTTTGGATGAAGCAGCCTCAGTGGAGGATGATGGAGCAGGAGTTGCCGACACTAAGGCCTTCAAAGGAGAGGCTGAACTTTTCTGAGAAGTCCAAATAAGCCATCAGCACACAAAAAAATTTCAAGTATGGAAAAGTATGCTTGTGAGTAAACCAATTTAATTACCTTCCTCCTGATGATAAGAGGGGTATCATCATCATCATCAACATCATCCTCCAGAATGGGAGATGCTGAGGTTGGCCGTTTGCGGCTCGGGACACTTTTGGCTGCAGTAGGCTTGACAGGGAGAGAAGAAGATGGACGAGCAGACTGTTTAGCACAACGAGGAGGAGAAGGACTCCAGATGGACAAAGGGGTGACTAAAACAGGAGGAGAGGAAGAAATGCTTGGCTGGTCCAGTGAATGAAAGGCATGATTGGCATCAGTCGCAAATAATCTGCGCTTCACTAACGGCCAGAGTCGTTCAAAAAGGGGATGGATGGCATGGCTAGAATTGAAGGGGCTAATGAAAAATGGCTTGTCAAAAGAAGATTGCGAGCATTTATAGTCACTGCCTCTGCCTTATTAATGATATGAAAGCGGTCTATCAAGTTCCTTGAATAGTAAGGAGGAACAGGCCAGGTTTGGCTGAAACTAAGTTGGCGAGCAAAAAATTGGGGAGCATATATTTCTACCCCAGCCTTGGCATTGGTCTCAGTCAAAATATCATGAAATAACTCCCTCCCGGTTAAAAACTGGATCCAAATGAGCAGAGAGGTGCTTGCGCTGTCTATAGTGGAGGGAGGATGCACATAGTCTGGAGTCAAAAAGGGAGGAAAAGGAAAGAAGGAAGAGATTGAATTCAAAGAATAAAAGAATGAAAAAATATCCCTTCTAGACATATTTACAGGAGCCAGGGGCTCAATGGCTAGCCCATAGCAGCTAGCAGAAGGACGAGAAAATGATGGAGCACCAAGCGATGAAAAATAGGATCTCAACCACATTTGAGTGAACCAAAGAGGTCCACTGCCAGTGGGAGATGCACCATTTTTCAATTGAAATTGAAGAGAAGCCATGCCTCTATAGAGGGCAGCCAAAAAGAAAGAACATAAATTCAGAGGCCTACCACGCGCCAATTCGTGCGCTATGGGTAAATAGTTCAGGGAGGGCTTTATGCTTGGCACACATAAAACATATTTACAAAGCCAAACCAGAAGAAAGGCCACTCGCTCAGTATGGGAAGGCTCAGTGCTCGAGTGGTTATGAAGGGTTTGCAAGCTTGAATAAGACTCGGTGAGGTTTTTACCAAACTTTGGGGCGCCACCAGAAACCAAGATACCAGAAAAAATGGTATCGCTCGAAGGTGGCAGATTCACTAGGGCCCCAACATCCCTTAAAGTAATAGACATGGGGCCAAGAGGGAAAACAAAGGTATTATACTTAAAAGACCAAAAACTTAAAGCGATCGAAAAAAGTGCTGAATCAAAAGTAGGGGGTTGAAGAGAGATTTCTAACAAATCAGAAATCCTAACATTATAAAAAAGTACCTTAGTAGGACCATGTTCCACAAGACGAGCATGCCACCTACGGAAAACTACATCAGATTTAGTTCAAGTGCGAATAACTCTTTCACGAAGTGGCCCCAGTGACAGAGAGTTTAGAAATGGAGGGCCTTGAGTACAAGGAAACAGCTGACCCACCGTCGCTTGTTCGACTGCCTCTGCATTGTTAAAGAAAAGACCTAGGTAGAACTCATTGAGTTCGACATTGACAGGTGCGAGAAAGTTCGGAGTTATGTATGGACGATTAAGGAGTTTCTGAAAGTCTTCAAAACTAAAAGATTTGCCAGATTGAGATTGTGAAGTAGCCATTAGGGACGAAATAGAGTTTTTCAGACTTACGTAGTAGGGAAGCAAAGAGATGAACAGTAAAATTATTAGAGAGAAGAGCGAAAAAAGTGAGGCGTGATTTAATGGTGCAGTAAAATGACGTATTTGGGGGTTATAAGGGTTTGCAAAACGTCGTACCTTTTCAAGTTATTGAAGAAAACAATGATTAAAATTCTTGAAAATTTCGAATGTTATTGGAAACACAAAGTGAATATGGCAAAATTTAATAATTGGTATTAATTCTGCCATATTGGGGGTAATTGTTGACACATAAAAATTCAGCCCAAATCGAACGGCCCAAGAAATAAAGCCCAATTGGAGGATTCTCAAATTAGATAGCCCAAAGAACGAAGCCCAATCAGACAATTTACAATGAAGGCCCAAATAGGGAGGCCCGTGAATGCGATAATACCACCACCCAAACTTGCAAGTCGCCCAAGAGTTGAGCAAATGAATTGCCATGCAGTCGCCCAGAGCTGTGACTCCGCTCTCGTCCAAATATTCAAATCGCCCAACCTCTTAGCAAACATAAGAAGTTATGGTTACCCAAAAGTGCAGTTAATGAAGCAGTTATTAGGTAGTCCTATCACGTTCCACGATTCAAGGAATTCAATTGAAGACGGTTGAACGACAAAAGTAGTGACAGCAGTTAGAGAAGGCAGTTCCATGACAAGTTGGCCACTACAAGGAAAGTGGGCAGTTATAGAGCGATCAAGCAGTTTCTTAAACAGTTGATCACGAAGAAATCACCCAAGGAGTATAAAAGGAAGAAAAGACATAGGGCAAAGGATCCCGAATCAAACACTTTCAAATAGATAATATGTAACTTTCAATTTTTTAGTTTAGATTTAAACACTTTTTTTACAGTAACTTGTGTGTTTGCGCCCCTTGGAGGCATTCTGTTTTTACTTCCCAATTGTAAAGTCATCGCTAATAAAAAACGCCCCTTTTTGGAACTTTGTCTCAAGAAGTTTGTCCCTTACACAATCGTCTGATCCCTTTTTAATTGTTAGCTACTAACCCGCGCAAAACATCCTCTTAAATTCATTTGTGACTTCACTTGAAAGTTGAAAGTATGATTCTACTTGGACAGGGATAAAGACAGACTAGAAAACAGGGATTTAAAAAGAATGACGTGGCCGACTAATTGTGGAGCAAATTGGAGGGAAGGAAAGGCAAATAAAGAAAGAAACAAAAGTCTTTTGCACAAAACCCAAGCCATTGGAGGGAAACCCAGAACGTGGAAATCGACAAAATTGAAGAGCACAGAAATTGGGCAAAAATTGAAAAGCAGTGAACGCCTATTTCTTTCAATACCATCGTTGAGCAAAAGAGAAGAGAACTGAACGCCTCTTTCTTCAACACCATCGTTGGGCAATATTGAAGAACACTTCACGCATCTTTCTTAAAGTGAAGAACACTGCACGCCTATTTCTTTTAATACCACCGTCGGGCAAAATTGAAGAACCCATTGTAAATCGATTTTCAACCGATTACCAGAAATTATAAGGTACCGACAAGGAGCTTCGAAGGCCTGGCAACGTCGTCGAGAACCTAAAAACTGCCAGCATTTAAATGCAGTCGGCACTCTCACTTCATGGTTCTTTGAACACCGGCGTATTGTGGAAAATTTGAAGGTGCCGGTAAGTGCATTATTTATCCTTGTTAATGTATTCATTATTATTTTATTTTTGTTTGGGATGATTTAATCTCTACAAATTAAGCTTCAAAAGATTTAGTTTAAAATGAAGATAAATTTCATTTTAGCAAGTAAAGGTAATTTGGGTTTACATTTTGCCGTTAATTCATACAATAAATTGGGTTTACTTCCATTTTGTTTGTGATGATTCATCTCTGCCTTCCAATTTGCATTTCTATTATTACTGCTATTTGGAATGGGGATTAGGATTAGGCTCCCTGCCTACCTTCTTTGAACACCCTTATGCTTTACATTATTTCTTTCTCAAATTTTGGAGACTGTTAATGTTATGAATTCCACTAAGAGTAATTCCATTAAGACTGTTAATGTTATAAATTCATGAAATTGTAGACTGTTAATGTTATGAATTCCATTAAGAGTAATTAAGACATGAATCACTCTAAATCCAAATACTTATGTCACTGATTCAGCTAAGCTAGCTGATGAAGTGCAAAAGCTGTGTTAATTACCTTCTTAATTTTACGCTAAATAAGTTTATGTTACATTGACAAATAAAATCATGCTTATTTTTTCTGTCTTAATTACCTTCTTAATTTTGTTTTATACGTTTTTACCTTCTTAATGTTCCATTATTCACAAATTGTAAAATACTAGCATTTATATCATTTTTTTCCAAGTTGTAACGAATAACTTTGTCATGCAACTGTATTAACGTGTGCTTCGGTTTGAAATTCTCTTTGCAACAAAATAAGATGAAATGAACATGACCAAATTTTTTGTTTCTTGGCAGTAAGAGAAAATATGGACGACGTTGAAGACAACCAAGACGATGTGTTGGGGCTATCAGAGGATGAGAACATAATGAAGCCCATGAACGAAATTGGCTGTGAAACATCAACGTGAGATGGCATAATTGTACCCGAGGTGGGAATGTTGTTCAAAAATGAACAAGATATGTATGATTTCTACAAAAAATATGCTTACACTGTGGGCTTTCCAGTTAAGAAAAGGAATTCCAAAAAAGAGGACGATGGTGTTTTAAGATATTTGACATTAACATGTAGCCGTGAAGGTGGAAGCGTTGGTAATAGTAGTGGTTCTTTGAAGCCGCACCCAACAGTGAAGCTGGGTTGTAAAGCCAGAATATCTGCATCTTGTGATGTTCTAGGAAATTGGAGAATTAATGCAGTAAACCTAGAACACAATCATGATACGAGTCCTTCTAAATCTCGACTATATCGATGCAACAGACAATTGAGCGCAGCTATGAAACGAAAGCTTCAGGTGAATGATTTGGCAGGAATTGCGGTTCACAAAAGTTACAACTCTGCAGTTGTAGAAGCTGCAGGTTATGAGAACATGTCTTGTATCGAAAAGGATTGCCGGAATTACGTAGAACGTGTGAGGCGATTAAAACTTGGAGAAGGAGATGCTACAGCAATTCAATCTTACTTTTCCAAGATGCAAGCACAATGCTCGGGATTTTATTTTGATATTGATTTGGATGAGGAGTCGCGGTTGAGAAATGTGTTTTGGGCAGATAATCGGTGTAGGCAGGCGTATAAGGAGTTTGGCGATGTTGTTTCATTTGACACCACTTATCTCACTAATAAGTACGACATGCCATTCGCTCCTTTTGTAGGTGTAAATCATCATGGACAGTCAACACTGTTGGGTTGCGGTTTGGTATCGAACGAAGACACTAATACTTTTGTATGGTTGTTCAAAACATGGCTTCAATGCATGCACGGTCAAGCTCCACATGGTATAATTACTGATCAAGACAGGGCAATGCAAAATGCAATCGAAATTGTCTTTCCAAATACCAAACATAGATGGTGTTTGTGGCACATCTTAAAGAAGTTGCCGGAGAAGTTTGGCTACCACGTGGATAAGCATTTGATATTTGGGGCTCTACACAGATTGGTGTATGATTCACAGTCCAGTGATGAATTCGAAAATGGTTGGGGAACGATGATTGATATGTATGAATTGCATGAGAATGATTGGCTATCGATAGCTGAACCAATTTCCAAATAATAATTGTCAAAGCACTGATTCTCATCCAGCATCCGAAGTTTGGGTTTTTAATTGAGATAGTTGCTGCTTACTTTTTGAAGTTTCAAAAGTTAAATTTCCTGTTTGAATAGAAATATTGCCTAGTAATCTGCTGATTCCTTTCACAAATTAAATCACCATTTACCTGCTGGGTTACATGCATTCGGAAAGCATAGTAAAAGATTAGTCTGAGAGTTATAATAGGAAACTAAAAACTTAACACGCGGAAGAGTTTTAAGAGAGCTACTCAAGGTGTTTTCCAGTTTTGAGAAAAATAAATTCTCTTAGTTCCATTGTTATGCTTGTATCATATTTAACCAATCAAGATGCCAAGATCTTTTTCATTCAATTCACATTGCAAGAAGGTGCTTTAGTTTGGCTCAAAGTACATCACATTTGCAGATGTTATGTTAGAGGGACGATAATTGAATACCATATATTGATCCGTTGCATTCAAGAGTGTGTAGTGGCACGATTGTGCATGATGATTTGCTGTCTAGTTCATTTGATTGCATTTTTTATTTTTATTATTTTTATTTTTTTGTATGTAACATTTTACTCAAATGAGTTCTAACTTCAAGTGTAATGTTTGGCTTGATAATTACTCAGGGAGGATCCTCCAGAACAAAACATCTTGAACCCTTTGATGAAGATGACCTGATGAGTACATCCTTTGTTGGGCCATTTGTTTAGGCCATTTATTTATGCTTTATGTTTTTATTGGGCTAGTATAATGGGTTTCGCCCAAGCCCCTTTCTCTCTAGGTTTGGTTATTTTCCTCTATATATGTCTTGTAACGTGAATTAAAACACAGACGATGAATGATGAAAATGATTATGCTTGTGTATCAAGTTTTCTCCCCTCTCCTGAATTCTTCCCCTCCCCTGTCAAGGATTTAAAAATCTCAGATATTGACTTGGGTTTGAATCTTTGAAGAGCTGTTTGGCGAATTGCTTGTGTATCAAGTTTTCTCCCCTCTCCTGAATTCTTCCCCTCCCCTGTCAAGGATTTAAAAATCTCAGATATTGACTTGGGTTTGAATCTTTGAAGAGCTGTTTGGCGAATCCCTTCACAACTGTTTTTTGAGAATGGTGGAATTGATAGCTTGTTTGAGATTCCGTCTTTACAAGGTTTTGAAACCAGTACAGAGTGTGCATATGCTATCAAGGTTTGCCCTGTAACTTTTTCTATATAATATGACACAGTTTTTCATCTTTGTATCTTTTCTCATGGCTTCATTTTTCATTTTTTATTCTCTCTCTTAAAATTAATATTGACTTTGTTTTCTGGTGAGAGCAATTAACATATATATACTCAAACAAAATCATAACTTTTCCCCTTTTTTGATAAATAACGAAGGGAATGTATGCCCTAGTCCCTTGGTTATCAGTTGCTAGCGAAATTGTTATTTGACCTGGATATAGCACTTCATCCTAATTTTTCTGGTTCTTCAATATGAACTTCGTAGCTGGCCCATCTTCCTCTTTAAGGGCAATATGCTGGTGTGTTTTCAAAAAAATAGATTGGTTCACGAGCACATAAATCTCTTGGCATTGCAAAAGCTTGCTTCTGTTAATTTTAGCAAGGAAAACCACTTTGTTGCTTTTCTTATTAGATTACAGGAATTAGCATTTCAATACAAATAGGCCATTCAAAAGACTATACATACACATCTCATACTGTAAAATCTCAAGAAGAATATGTATATGTACATAAACAACAATTCAAAAAAAACAATGGAAAAACCAACATTTTGTACTCATTATTTCATCCCATGCTTCCTTTCTATGATCTCTATTGTCAATCATTCGAAAATCTTCGAAATTGATGTGAAGTAATCTACTTATCTCTCGCTGAATATGAAACTTAGAACACAATGAGCATCAAATTAACGTGAAAATTAATGATGATGAATTGAGCTACTTCATTAGCTTTTCTTGCAACATTTCATACAGACCTTAATAGTACAAGAGTTCATACATAAGTTAAATCACCTACATACAAAATTTTCTAAGAAAACATATTCAATCATTATCTACTAATCAAGCTGGCAGCTCCTCTTTCAGATTCCCTTCCGCGCTTACTTTTGCCGTCTGCACCGTCACAGTCACTGAAATCTGGACCTCTTTATCATCACTTATTCGAACTCGAGATTGGAACGAACGGGACATTTCTTCAACGGTTTCTTTCTTTGTAGGGTTGATCGACGGACCACTTGATTTTTCATTTATAACCCACTCCCAAAATCCACAATTGTTAGTGCAGCAAAGGAACAATCTCCCTTTATTTTTAGTCTCCTTTTCCACGAAAACATTTTTCGAATCCATGCTTACATAGTGGGCAAGGGCGTTTCTTTTTGCACTCGGCAAAGAAGTGATCTTTACCTCTACAACTATGACAGACTCCGGAGTTCGTTCTAGGCATGCTAACATGAAATCCACCAGCACCAAGAAAGGTGAAGTCAATAATGTTATTCGACTGGCTGAAGTTAGGAAGACAAATGTACATATACAAATGATAAGCTTTCACATAAATAACATCATCCACAAGAAGCAAAATAATCAGACCTCAACACTATTAACAATGGCTTATGATCTCCCCTTCAATAAATCTACCTCCCTCAAATTACACAGAAATAATGGTCCTGCTACCTCTGTTTTCGCCAGAACCCTCAAATGCATACTTCTCACTCAACAATATTCATGAATAGTTTTCACTACTTGCTCAGATGTATAAACTACCAAAGGCTTCAATGTTCATGAGTAGTTTTCACTCAAAAATCTAAATTCCAATCCACAAAGTAGTGAAAATAAGAAAAATAGAAGAATACAATTAACTACATCTTATTCAACACAGTAAAATGCCCCCCAAACGAAATCTGTCAAATAACTCATTTCGAAACCCCCACTGAACTATGTCAAATGATCAAGTAGAAACTCAGTAAATACTAAATACCCCCTACTAATCCCAATATACCCAACTGAACTCATGGCATCTACAACGAAAATCACTTTATGGTGAAATAAATAGCATATTGCCAGAGCAAAACTGCAAAAAAATTAACTTATCGTGGGCACTGGTGCAGAGAACACTTCAACGACTGGAGATGCCGATGACTTTGACGACGACGGGATATGGTCGGTTGACTCACAACGACACCTTTGTCGTAGGTGGGCGTATTGTTACCACGGCTGGGAGTGCGGTCGGAGATGCGATATTATGCTTAGGGTTTGGATTTCGGGGCTCCCATTTCGATTTTGGTTCGTGGAGAGAGAGACAGAGGAATCGCGTTCGTGGAGAGAGAGAGAGAGGGAGAGGGAGTGTTGTTTCATCCGGTTTGTGGTTTCTTTTCATTTCGTTTAATTCTAAATAAATAATAATAATAATTAATTGAAGCCACGTCACCCTGGTTTTTGGTCTGTTTTTGGCCCTGGACGAGGAGCACTGCCCAAGTTGAAAACTCCATTTCCATTTGTACCGTTGTATTCTCTGTCATTAAACCCTAAACCTTAGCATCACAAAATAGAAAATCAAGGACGAGGAATAAGCAGCAATTTGTAATGGCGACCGCCGTTCTTTTCAGATCTCTTCGCCATCGCGAATTTTCCTCTGCTCCACTTTCTGTATATAGAACAGTATGTCTCTCTTTTGCCCATTCGTCTGATTGGGTCTTGTACTCGAATGTTTTTCGTACCTATTTTCAGAAAAAAAAAATCTCTATAGTTGTATAGATACTCTTACAATAGTCGGATCGATTCATGGCATGCTACTATTTTTTGTATTATTAGTTTTGGCTGTTCTACTTTAACATTATACCTTCAAAGAACAAATGTAAATGAAGGGAAACAAATAATAAACAAAAAGAATAGATGTATTTTGTGTTTTCTATTTTGATTTTTGTTCGGATTCTTGATGTGTCCGAATATTATTATTATTTTTTTTAATGCAGTTTTATTGCATGATCTTTTATGAGCTCCTATTTTTCTATTTCCAGCTGGATTATGTTTAAACTTGGATATATTAATGCGTTTAAGCAATTGATATCGGTGAAATTCATAATTCTTTTTCCGCCGAGCAGATAGGATTTTTTTTCCCTCTCCCTTGTTCAGTTTTCTAGTTTTTCATCTTCTTTTTGTCTTTTCCTTTCTGTCACTCTTTAGGGGTTGGTAGATTAGGGATGTCAGTTTGTTGCTATAAATTTCTGTGCATTTAACATCCATCCTTAGTTGATTTACTGCAAATCTATATAAGCTTAGTCTTCCCCGAGGAACTCCTTTTTTTTTTTTCGTTTTTTTTTTTTTTTTTTTTTTTTTTTTTTATAGGGTTTTTTTTTTTTTTTTTTTTTTTTTTTTTTAGCTATTCATTTTTATAGTGTAAATCCCACTGCAGCTAGATAATTCATTAAGCGGAAGTTGGAAGCAACAGCACAACTTTAGGGGACTGTAATTGTTCAGTTAAATGGAGATACAAAGCCAGCATGGGCGTTGGGAAACAAGTGGGCAGGGTTTAGTAAGACCATTCAGGTATATTTCCTATTTTGTTTCTTAGTTGTTTGTGGACCCTCTTCTTTGGAATTAAACACTGATTTCTTCCTAAATGCAGCACCCGACCAGCTGGGAACGATGTTATCGGTATTGACTTGGGCACCACAAACTCCTGTGTCGCTGTCATGGAGGGCAAGGTAAAGTCTATCTGCACGTCAATGAATCACCTCAAGAACATTAATGTTGGCGAGCTCATATTGAAACGTGTTTTTCTTTGCAGACCCCTAAAGTTATTGAAAACTCTGAGGGTGCTCGCACTACTCCGTCAGTGGTTGCTTTTAACCAAAAAGGAGAACTTCTGGTTGGAACACCTGCTAAACGGCAGGCTGTCACCAATCCTACCAACACTCTCTTTGGAACCAAGCGACTGATTGGTAGGCATTTTGATGATCCTCAGACACAAAAGGAAATGAAGATGGTTCCATATAAAATTGTCCG